AAGCCCCAGAAACTGTCAGAACAGACTGATTTTCTTGACATCCCCTGAATTTTTCTTTTCTTATTTTCCTTGCACTGCACTTGCTGTCGTGTCTCCATCACTTTCCCTGCAATTCCACACTTATGCCCTAGCTAGGGTTCACACTGTCTTATTAAGCTGAAGGAAAAGGATAAAGCAAAATATTTTTTTATTATAAACAGCAATGCAACTAGTACTAAAGAGTTCAGGTGTCTCTTACAATGTCCTTGCTCAGTTCTGTGCTGGGCCATCCCAAGGGAAAYCTCTCATTTTTTTAGACCTAATGCCAAGGTTGATCTCTTCCTCACAGCAGAGATGCTGAGGAACCATAATATTCACTCTGCCAGCGTGGAAAGAGATGTTTGGGAATGMCCAAATGATGGTTCCAGCCATCAGCACTGCAGGGCCAGCCCCAGCTAAGCCTGGCAGGAATTTTGTCATTGATCCCAGCAGACAGAGCAGTTCCTGCACAGAAACAACAACAGGAGAACTTTTCATTAACCATCACTCCCACTAAGGGCAGAAAGCTCCAGCCCCCTCCATCCATGTAAAATTGAAACAACAACAGGAGAACTTTTCATTAACCATCACTCCCATTAAAGCCAGAAAGCTCCAGCCCCCTCCATCCATGTAAAAGTGACCCCAAAGAGGGCTCATCTGAGTATTTATATTGGAATTCTGTATATTCTGTGCTACTGAGGACACGGTGATTCCTTGCTCAGGAGACAAGATGTGTTCCAGAGCATATTCACAAGTTGGGGTATTGATGTATTCACAACTTGGGGTGGGGACAATCCACAAGAGTATTTGAAGTAGTTGAAAGACTCCATGATAAATCACAAGAATGATTTCGTTCATTTCTTTTGAGCTTTGTGGTCAAAACTAAAGAAAGAAGCACTGTGAGACACTCAAACAAGTTCTCAAGGGATAAAAGAACTGGTTAATGTAAAAGTAAAGAAATTACGAGTGCTAAATAATTAAAATGATCATATTTGCACTGAGGATTTCAGAACCATTGGATATTTTGGGTTGGAAAGTGCCTTAAAAGTCATTCCAACACTTCTGCCGTGGTCGGGACACCTTGCACTAAATGAGGTTGCTCAAATCTTCATCCAATATTCAATCTAAGACCAATCTATTAGAGGACTACTGAACCATTTTCAAATATATGTAGCTGTTTTTAGAAAAGGAGGATTATAGCCACCATTTGAGTCTGATCTTAATTGTATTTCCCCCAAAATTTACTAGTGCAGCTGTGCTGACTTATTTAGCATCAAAGCTTTGTGTATCTATTATGCACATGAAAAAGAAACATTTTCTGCTCCATTCAACTATTTCTGTCCTTTTCATTTCTATCAAAAGAAAATCTGAAACAYGAGCTTAAAGCCAGAAGGATTCTTTTCCGTTGTAAGAGCATACCTAACAAACAAACCCAAATTGTTRAAGACTCAGTTCAAAGATGAGAAGSTGAAAATCTGTGATCTGATCTCTGCTGTGCCCCTGCCCTGCTCCATGACATTGGCTGAGCCTTCCAGGCAGGGATAATCTCCTCCCATGCATTTACATCACATGGAGCTCACCAACACTCCCAGGATGCACTTTAATATAAATATATGTCCTGATAATTTTCTTTAATGGCAGTCTGTAGACATACCCACGCTTGGAAAGCACTGCAGAGGGATTTAGCCGTGCAGCCCCCACTGATTTCACCCAAGATAGTTTCCTTCTGACATGGCTGTTTGTGTTCTGGGTGTGTGCACATGAAAAAAGGAGAAGTTGAAGCAGTCAAAGCACTACAAGGCAGTGTCAGCAGCCAGTATGTAAAACACACCACCCCACAGCCTTCCCARATGGATCTCATGAGCAGGGAAGCAGCAGCAGCCATGTGAAGAAGGAATGACTCCAGATTTGCAGATATGTTACTGTYCTGGGTGCACAGGTGGAGTTCAGGATCAGGACAGCACCCACCAGATCCCAAAAACTGCAGGAAATGGGACAAGAGGTCACAGCTCATGGCTTATGAAAGCTCTTCAGGAGCTCATTACACCTCTGACAAGTCTTCTTTAACAAAAGTTCCAGCTCCTTCATTGTCTTCAGCAGAACATCTGAAAGTAAAAAGCMCTCTGATGTCTAAAGCTGCTCAGATCCAAACTGAACCACCCTCTCCCAAATCAAAGCCTAAGATTGCTTTGACTGGAGTCTGCAGACTGCTGCTAACACAGGGGCAGTTTTTCAAGTGCTTCATTCTGTGCTTGCCAAGCAAGGGATGATTTGGTTATTCACAGCRTGATTTGGTTATTCAGCTTTACACCATCAGGAAAAACTGGGTGCAAAAGATAAAAAAGCACCCGTGAGAGAGTGACCTGTGAGTTCAGGGAGCCCCTTCCCTGCTCATCAATCTGTAAAGGTCAGCAACATTGCAGGAGTTTGTGACACTCCCATCAAATCATGTCCCAGGACTTCATTCATTCTGCTGAGGCAAAATGCTAGAAAGCAGTGAGCAAAAGGGACAAAGAGCTAAATTTCACCAAATTAGATTTTAGCAGGAACATAGGAAGAGGAGCTGGGAAAGCAGCGTTGTGTTCCCCATCACAACAAAGAGCAYTTCTCCAGACAGCGATGGCTCAATAGATTACCAGTCACAGCCTGCCTTGCTCATCCACCTAGGCTCTAGTCTTTTGAACTGTAACCTCAGGAAAAATAGGTAAATTGTCCTGAGAGTGATCTAAAAAGTAAAAGCAACTTCACTGTGGAAAGAAACRAAAATACCCTGAATCCGAATCCATACACTTTCTCCATTTAAATGCATTTGAAAGAAATTAATTCTGCATTTCAAATAGAGTGTTCCAAGACTTCCTCCTCATTCCTGCTACATGAATTATGGAAGCAGAAAATACATTTGTATTTATTTGGTTTAGTTTCAAAGAATTAAAGTCTTACATAATTTTATTTATTAAAAATATCAGGGCTGCAATTTCATTCTGATAGTTCAGCTCCAATTAAAAAAAACAAAAAAGAAACAGACACCTCACTATCCAACCCCAGGACAGGAATGCTGTTCTTATCACAAAAGACTTTGTAATTTGTTTGCACACCTCAATGAAAAGGAAAGAATAGAAAGAACTTGATGTGAAATGCCAAAATACATCAACTTMTCATCACTTGGCCTTGTAATTCTCCTGTAGTGGATAAAGCTTTGCTGGCCGTTTCCTGAGTTTGCAGACAGACTAAACTAAATGAARCTCAAGAACCAGCAATGTGAATTTYAAATTGCCATTTTTAAACTGTGGGTTATATACACACATCTAACAGGTATATCCTACCAAAACCAAGTGTTTGCCTTCTTAATCCTAATTGTGCTTTTACTGCCTCCAACCAAACCACCTTCATCCTCTCTGCCTTTGGGGCTTCGTGGGGGAAGCAGAGCTGGCTTTCCATACACAGAGATGTGGTCAAGGAAAGATGGAACCATCATCTTCCAATTYCATTGCACAAAGCCAGGCTTGGATAGCAGAGATACAGGCAGTCAGACGAGTTGGAGCAGCYTGACCAGTGGGGAGCACGAGATGCCTGCTCACATCACAACCTGCTCTTCCTGTACTGCTCTGTGCCAGAGGAAAGCAGACACAGACGTTCTCGTTGGAAAAACAAGGCCAAAACTAAATGGGAAAGGCAAGGATCCACCAGGAAAGGAGTTGGACAGTTTCTCATTGCCTCATTCATGCTTTTGCTGCACCTGATTCTTCAGAAGACAATAAGGAATTTTTAATCTGTTTTCCCAACTTTCTGACAGGAAAACTTCAACTTTTCCAACTTCAACAAGGCTTTTTTTTTTTTTCTTACTCTTCTGAAGGGTTTTTTAAAAGTCTTGAACCTTCCAGTGTCAAATCTGACTCACAGTGTCCTTTTTCACATCCTGTTCCTGTTCAACACCCCATTATTCTGGGGCAGTGTGAGCTGTCASGTTTGTCCCCAAGTCCTGACCACCCCCTTTGCAAAGGTCATTTTGTTCTCTTACAGGACCATTGCTGGGGTCACCTTCCTCTGCCCTGCAGTGGGTGATGTTTTAGGCAAAACCAACCACTGAACAAAAAGCCTGCACACCTTGGGAATGACCTCCAGCAGCAAACATTTTCCTCTGCAGAAAGCACAGCGATCCAGCACTTCGGATACATCCTGAGAGGAGAACGCCTTGCCCCTGGAGCTGGCAGTGCCACACCAATCACTGCTGGATGGGAATTTGCAGCTTTAACGTGGGGTGGCTGTGGTCAGGAAGCTAATTCAGCCCATTACCACCAGCCCTATCTCGCGTGGCCTCATTGCAACACTCGGTGGYCACCACGGTTTGGGATCCTTTAACCTGAAATGACACAGGAAAGGGACGTTAAGGTGGCACATGATCCATCCCCATGATCTTCATCTCCAGGAATGCCGGGGGTCCCTCAGCCACTTCCTCCCGGGACAGGAGGCTGCACGTCAGAAACCACCACGGTAATTAAATGCTTTGCTCAGCCAGAGCACAGGGCAGGCTCTCTGCCCCAGGACTTCCATGTGAATAYGGGAGAAGCTCGCACAGGCACTGCCCACACTGAGCCTGGTACTTTGGGGAAAAAGAGGACTTTAGGCTGCAGGATTGATCCCTTGTTGTTTGGTTGCCACAGCTCCACTGTCTCTAACATTAGAGTGACTGGAGTTAGGCTACAAAACCACGACTCTGTTCTGTTCCACTGCCTGGCACACAAACCTTATCCTGGAAAAAGCCCTCTCTACACAGCACCCCGATTTTATTGGCTCTAAAACTCCCTCGGAATGTACAGATCATCCTTCAGCTTTGAGAGAGTTTTCTTTCTTTGCCCACTAGAGTACTTTTTAAATCACTTTGAAAAGCCCAGGTCCCTGAACCCTGTGATGCAATCGGTGAAAATCAGTGCCACAACCCTGCGTTTTATTACTATTTTTCACATCTTCTCATTTTAATCCGCACTTGGAGACCGTTCCCGTTCCCATCRAAGTACACGGCAAGTTCCCATTAAAATCTGGCTCAGCTAGTATTTTAATAACACTTAGCCATTCCCGTCCTTTGCATATTTCATCTGCGAAGCGCTTTACAAACATGAATCTCCTAATTACAGGCGGATGATTTACTAAAACTGGAAATTCCTCACTAGTTCTGGCTTTCCCTTTGAAGCTCCGGGGTTCGCTCTTGTCTCTCGGCACTTTGGAAGATCCCCGACGCCGCTCGTTCTCTCGTTCGCGGCAGAGGCAGGGCACTAAGAAAGAAGCCACGGAGGAGSCTGCGATCTGCCCCGGAGTGTGTGGGGTGTGAGCCGCGGGGTTCGCACGTGGGGAGCGCAGATCCCGGTGCTCCGGGAGCGGGCAGGGCGCGGGTGAGACGGGACACACCGGGCAGGAAGGGGTGGAGCGGCCGGCGGAGCGCACGGGCGGGGTGCCGCGGGCGGGGAGGGGACGGCACAGGCATCCTGGCCGTGCTGAGCCGGGCAGAGCCTCCGCACAGCGCTCCCCATGGAGCGGCTGCCCCGCCAGCCCTGAGCCCGCCGCCCCGGCCGCCCGCCCGCAGCCGCCCCCGATGGAGCCCGACGAGAGGAAGATCTCGGTGTGGATCTGCCAGGAGGAGAAGCTGATCTCCGGGCTCTCCCGGCGGACCACCTGCTCGGACGTGGTGCGAGTGCTGCTGGAGGACAGCCACCACCGGCGGCAGCGCCCGGCGCCGCCCGAGCCCGCCGGGGGGATGCTGTCGGGGCCGCCGCACTCGTACTGCATCGTGGAGAAGTGGCGCGGCTTCGAGCGGATCCTGCCCAACAAGACCAAGATCCTGCGGCTCTGGGTGGCGTGGGGSGACGAGCAGGAGAACGTGCGCTTCGTGCTGGTGCGCAGCGAGGCTTCTCTGCCCAACGCGGGGCCGCGCAGCGCCGAGGCGCGGGTGGTGCTGAGCAGGGAGCGCCCCGGCCGCGGCCTGGGGGCGGCACGGACCAGCCTGGCGCTCACGCAGGAGCGGCAGCGGCGGGTGGTGAGGAAGGCCTTCCGCAAGCTGGCCAAGATCAACAAGAAGCGGCAGCAGCCGCTGGCACGGGAGGCCTCGTCGGCGGAGAGGATGGAGACGCTGGTGCACCTGGTGCTGTCGCAGGACCACACCATCCGACAGCAGATCCAGCGGCTCCGAGAGCTGGACCGCGAGATCGACAGGTACGAGGCTAAAATCCACCTGGACCGCATGAAGCGSCACGGCGTCAACTACGTGCAGGACACCTACCTGGTGGGCACGGGCGGCGSGGAGCCCGAGCCGGGCCGGGAGCAGGGCCAGCCCGCCGGCCGCCGCCTCGACGAGGAGGACTACGCCAGGAAATGCGAGGAGGTGCTGCAGCTGCAGGAGCAGCGGGCGCAGCAGGAGGAGCTGCTGGAACACCTGGCCGCCGAGATCCAGGAGGAGCTCAACGAGCGCTGGATGAAGCGGCGGCGGGAGGAGCTGGAGCTGGCGGCGGGGCCCGGGCTGGCCGACACGGACTGCGACACCACCGAGCTGAGCGGCGGCGGCGGCGAGGGCGAGCTGCASCTGGAGCACGAACGGGTCAAGACCCAGCTGAGCACCAGCCTCTACATCGGCCTCAAGCTGAGCACGGACCTGGAGGCCGTCAAGAGCGACCTGGACTGCACGCAGCGGGTGTGGGAGGACAAGGAGCGGGAGCTGCAGTGGCTGCTGGACACGCTGGGCACGCTGGACGTGGCGGAGGCGCTGGCAGAGCCGCGCGGGGCGGCGGCCGGGGCGCGGCCGGGGGCAGGATGGATGGAACAGGCGCGGGGACTGCGCAAAGACCGCGCCGACAACGACGAGGACTCGGACACGGGGCTGAGCTCCATGCACAGCCAGGACTCGGACTCGCTGCCCGTGTGCGAATCGCTGGTGTAGCGCCCGCCCGCCCCGCCGCAGCCACCCCGGGCACCGGGCACMGGGCASMGGGGCTGCCGGGGCACAGAGCAGATGTGGGGCAGCCCAGGAAACTCCCGGCGCAGGAGGCAGTCGCGCAGAGGAAACATTTTAATTTGAGCTCTGAAGTTTGAACTTGTTCTGATTAGTCATCCGCGGGCAGCGTTTAGGCTGGCTCGCCGGTACTTTTATCCGAGGAAGAGAAAACCCACAGCGTGTTTGTGTTTCATTCACGTCTGGGATTGCTCGCTCCTTAAATCCTGCCCCTCGCTTTGCTGCGAACGTTTTCTTGCCGGGCCTTTTAATCCTCCTCAGTGTAGCGTAAGGCTGCTCCGGGTCAGCTCTTCACGAGCAAAAGGCCGGGACGTGCCCTCCCGAGGGGATCGCTCTCTCCCGAACAGGGTGTCGGCATTGCAGAGTCAGATGTGGGTTATACTGGGTTATACTGGGYTATACTGGCTGTCACAAAYACACCCGGCTCCTTTACAGGCAAAAAGTCTCGACACTAAAGCTGCTGATCACTTAAACAGTGCGGAGGAAAAGAGGTGTCAGTGCTTCTGACTCTGGGATCTCCCAGGGCGCAAACTTTTGGACGGTGCTGCAGTTCCTTTCGGCAACAAAAAGGGGTGATAAATCACTTCCTTTTTTTTCTTTTTCTGAAGAACAGGCTAAATCAAAATATAGGTTAACGTGTTGTATTAACTCTGCTCTGTGTAGTGCTTTTTCTTATGCACAGATAGGAGTGCTTGTGTAAAGGCACACTAAGAAATCTGTTCCTATCTATAGTCATGGAAGGTAATTAGCAGTGCCTSTATGTACACAGCCTTCAACTACATTTTTTCACCAGGCTAGCTGATCCTTGGCTGAGCATGGTTGTAGATAAACAAAGTACAGAATCAGCTGGAGCTACCATTTTTAATAASACAGTTCATATCAGGCCAAGAGATGCAACGATAAAAGTATGACTCAAGCCATACCTGTGCTACAGCTTAATCTTTTCAGTTATTCCAACAAAAAGCATTAACATGCATTTCACTTAACTGCCAAATCTTCCTCTGCAGCTCAACTCTTGTCCAAAATACATGATCTGCTCTTGCAATAAGAGACATTAAGGATTCTTGTATTCCAGAATAATTGCAGAAATAGTTTAAGCAGTGAGAGACCRGAGAATGTTGAGTCAGATCCGACTGATGGTGTGAACTTTTTAAAACTTCTGAGATGATTATTTATGTAAGGTTATTTATAAAAGTTTTCATTTAACAATAAGTATAAAAAAGGGGGTACACTAATAGACCAGTTCTTTATTTTCATTAAAAGCCTCGCAGCCTTCTCTCACCACTCTTGCAGTGTTCTTGTTGGAAAGAATTCTGATGGATGTCGGAAAATTAGATTCATCAACTGCTCACTTTGAAAGCAAGCAGAGAAATACTGTCTGGATTTGCAGAGGCTGTTCAATTTTCTATATGCTATGATTCTTGATAAATATTATTCCACTGAATGGGTCTCAGTTATAACAAACTGTGGTTTATTTTAAACACTGATTATATAATTGTTTTTCATATTTTAGTCAACCTTGGAAAATATTTAAGAACCTATTTTTAGAGCTAATAAAACTCTTAATAAGGCTAAACAAGCGTTCCCAATTGAGTGTGATTTAAAAACCTGCAAGGACTGGGATTCTGTGGTGTTATCCTGTGTGCAAATCAAGTGGAAAGATGGACCAGATGCAGTGGGTTCCACAACAGCATCATCCCTTTTTCTGAACCTGAGGGGTTCAGGTGCACAGTCCTCAGGTCACTGCAGGGGTACAGCAGTGGCCTTTAGCAGCATCAGCACATGTCCAGAGTGAGGAATTTTGGATTTTTGTGGAAGCAGAGCTGACAAATAAGCCAGGGCAGGTGGGAGTCCCAGCTCTGCCGTGCACTCAGCAGTGTGGATGGAAGGGGTGGGTGATGGCAGTGCCTCCCCAGGGACTGATGCCAGCAGTGAACCTGAGCTGCCTTTGCCTGAGGTCTCCCATTACCACACCAAGCAAATAAAAAGKGAGCACGTTCTAGAAATGAGCTGCAACAGGCTGTACAGCATGATGCTGCTGGTGGAGGATCAGGCAGCCTGTGAGGTGTGAGGTGAAGGAAGGCAGGGAATTCAAAGCTACAAAGCACTCTGCCTACTCATCCCCAACTAGGAAAATCCTCCAAACCAGGGGAAAACCTCTTTTGCCCCAGGCTGCTGAGGGCCATGCTTGTGGGCACATGGTGATGCTCACTCTTGGCTGCCCCATAGCCCAAATCAGACCCTGACCCTGCAGAGCTGCTGCCCCTGTTCCTATAAGGGCAGGGATGAGAGGCCTCAAGGGTTTGGTGGGAGTACAGGGAATTCCTACAGGGAATTCCTACAGGGAATTCCTACAGGGAATCCCTAGGAGCACCTTTTGAATTCCTAGGAGCACCTATTTGATTGTGTTCCTATGCATTGTGCAGGTGAAATTGGGTAAATTTATTTGATGTTTAAACAGCTGTAAGCACAATGGGCTCACAGACTGAACTCAGACACGTTCACAAATCCCTATTACCCTCAAACCATTATTAAAACATTAGTATAGAAGAGGAAATCACTGCTTGCATTGGACCAGGCTCTTCTCCCTTCCCTTCTCCTGGGCTTGGATATCCTCACTCAGATAACACAGACAAGCCACAGGATGCTTGTCAAGGATTTTGGCTCAGGGGTTTTGCTGGGCACATAGCCAAGGATTAGGAGAGCTGATTCAGAATCACAGGTAGAAGGGCAGGATTTTTATCTCCTTTACAGTTCAGACAGAAWGGGAGAGGGAGATAGCAGCAGAAAGAAAACCCTGACCAGCACCGTGTCGGAAGTCTGCTTTCCGGCACCAGCGAGAGAGAGGTGAAAGATCCAACAAACACAGGCTTTGGAGGGTTTTAAATACTATTCTATCTTTCAGAGTCAACTCCAATCTAATCTTTCTCTCTTCCTAAGACAGATAACSATGAATTAAATAAAAACCTAACAGCACTACGATCTATTTGTATGAATCGGTGTATAGGATCACGTTGCCCTATTTATTCAACAGCCTAACTCTTCTCAAAGGAATCATCATGGACTGAGGCTTTTCTTTGACAATACCTACAGAAATCAAAGAGTTTTGTCCAGGAGATATCATCAGAGCAGTATCAACTCTTAGTTTCAGGCACCTTTTAAACAAGCATTATGAAGCACTCCTGCACAGGTCCTGTCTGTTTGCTGCCCTTGGCCACGYTTTTTTCTGACCCTTCCTGGCACTTTCTCTTGTGCCTATGCAGGAGTCTGTGGGACCAGGTAGTGAAAAAAAAGAAAGATGAACTTTAATTTAGGTGAAGCCCTGCTGTGGCTCAATGTGCAGTCACACAAATGCTTCTGGCAATGACAAGGTAGGGTGGTAAAAATGAGGAATTGGAAAGGTGGAACTGATCCTTTCAGCAATGGGCACTGTTTTRTGCTGACTTGCATGTTGGCAAAAGCTTCCTTCAGGCTGTAAATATCCTCCACTCACAGCCTAAGCAAAGGTTTGCAGAGTGGAAAACTGAGGCTGGAGCTGAAACTTCTTTGACATCAATTACACTCACCCATATTAAACCCAAAATAAGCCAAACAGTGCAGCTTTTAGCCTTGACTTCATTTCAGCAACCCACTATCAAGCAGTATGATCAGAATGAAAACTCTGTGTCCAATTTGATGTATTTCTACCTCTTAGTCTGTGTAAGAGATCTGCCAGGTTGAATAAGGACTTTGTGGGGCTCTCGTTTGATGCCTTAAGCGGGGAGGAAAGGGGGAAGGCAAATACATTTACTGTAATGAACACCACTGACATGCAAAATGAATGACCCAGTAATTATTGCCACAGATCCTAAAGCAGCATGCAGGCAGCCAAATGAGAGCCTGGCTGTTTTAGGGTGATGGATCCTTTTCCAAAGAACCTGAGCTTTAGGTTTCAGGCCTAAAGGTAGAGTCAAAGGAGGGGAGCAAGCAAGTGGATGTGAGAAAAGGAAAACATGTCATTAAGCTTTATTATTATTGACTGCTTGCATGAAACATGTGTCCCAGGTTTATTTTAAAAGTAGTCTGAGTTCCTGTCTGGAGACACATGTGCACAAATCGACCTCCTTCCCAAGTTTTACTCAACTTTGGGCACTTTTCCCCCCCTTTTATTTCAATTTTGAGCGCTTTTTCCCCCCTTCTATTTCGACTTTGGGCACTTTTCCCCCCCTTTTATTTCGACTTCGGGCACTTTTTCCCCCTTTTATTTTGACTTTGGGCACTTTTTCCCCCCTTTTATTTTGACTTTGGGTGCTTTTTCCCCCCCTTTTATTTGCCCTGAGCTGGGAATGTAGCTCAGTACATGAAAAGAGCAGCAGAGGCCTTGAACTAACAGGTCTGGTGAGCTGTGCTGGTTGAGGAGTTGAAATACAAGCCCTTGTGGATTGTTGGGAGCAGTTGTCCTTTGAAGTCACTTGATATTATTGCTCCTGAGCTGGCACTCAGAGTTTAGAGAAATGAGCATGGCAAAGTGCAGCCTACATGGATGCTGCTCCTTTTCTACAAACTCTCATTGCTAAATGAAATTGGAAGCTTAACAGAAAGGGGAAAATTAATAAACTCAAAGCAAATCTTGGCTCTGTATGCAAATTTACTATCTTAAAGCAGAATTTTTCTCCTTTCTGCCAACCTGCTCCTCCCCTATTCATCAGCACCTGCTCTGAATTTCATGAATAGCTTTGTTCAAATTGCTGCGACTCCACGGGTTCAGATTTGGAATCCTACTTGGTAAGAAACCTGAAGAAAGAAAGAGTCTTTCTGTGTCTTGGCAAACCCTCCGTATTTGTGCAGTACCTGGTAACCTGGGCAGTATTTTTGTATTTTTGTATTTTTGTATTTTTGTATTTTTGTATTTTTGTATTTTTGTATTTTTGTATTTTTGTATTTTTGTATTTTTGTTGTTGCCATATGGATTGAGGATTTACTCTCACCAGCTGCTCCATGCTGCTGCTGCTCAACTCCCTTGCCCTCTCTCCTTTTCTTTTCTTTTTAACATGTTTCCAAGCTATTTGGAATTTTTCACTTCTCACACAAGGAGGGAGCACATTTCCTCAGGTGACATTCTGGGGTGACATTGCTGTGGGGCATTGGGGTGGGAAAATACAGTTTCTATTGGAGAAAAATACAGTTTCTATTGAAGAATAACTTGAATAGGGAGCGATGTCTTATTTCCCTTGGAGAGTAAACTTTTGAGAAAGATATTTACTGTGTGATGGGGCACCAGCTGGTAGAAAGAAGCCTGATCTACTCATGGCCATCAAACTGCTGTAATAAAAACATTAAATAATAATAATAAAACCAATAAATAATAAACATCAATCCTGTGCCTCAGTTCCCAAGCACTGGGGTCTGTGCTCTCCCCTTTTCTGAATGTTTAAACACAATCTTTCCCATTGACTGCCTCAGTGGAACCACTGAGAGTGATCTCAGAACACCACCCTGCTAAGGCAGTCTCAGGATTTTTACTGGGGAAAATGAAACAAAACAACAAAAAAAGAACAAAAAAAGTATCTGTGACTCATGGAAAGAGCTCTTACATATGTGAAACATGCTATCATCAGCTTAC